CACTTTGACCGCGCTTTCAAATTTTCGCAAATTTCTGAAAAATAAAAATTCGCTGAAACCTTATAATATGATTTTTAGAATAAGGTCACCTAAGGGCGTCTTTGGGCAAAATATGAGCGATTTGCCAAATGGGTCGTTGACCGGCGTTTCTCGATCCTAACAGTCAGCCATTCTTCAAGTAAAAATACAGTTTGTGTCGCTTCTTGTGCTCCTGGCCCTCTTACGGCTGCAATAGTTAGCTGAGACTGAAAAGCTCACTAAGAATTCAGCGGCGCTAAGAGTGGTTCATACAAGAGGCTACAAGAGGATCTTCACTGAGAAATTCAACTCCGAGTAACTTCCGAACGTCTTCAAAACATTAAAAACAGGCATATAAACTGACCAAAACTTTGCCTAAAAGTTGTTTTCGAATTAATGGCGGAGGCTTTTCAGCGGCGTTGTTGTACAAAAATAAATTTCATTCAGCTGATTTGTGCGTTTTACGATTCATTGACGCTTACAGAACACTGGAATGGTTTCCTATACGAAATTACGCAACAGCCTGCATTGTTGGCTTTCTAAAAATAAATTTTGCCCTCTTTGTTATAAACAAGTAATCACATGATTCCTCATAAAATTAGGATAAATATAACTTGTGTTTTCGGAAGTTGTAGAAATTTCCTCAACTTCCGAAAATACAAGTGACATTACTTCTCAATTTTACTACGCGGCTCATGCGATTATCCACACTAATCTATATACCGGTTCTGAGCCAGAAAAGGCTATGAAACCATACCCTTGGGACAGCACGTATTTACACGACTTATCCCTGGAATTTTACACTTCCTCCACCATGTCTTGTGGCGGGGTATGATCACCTGACCTTGCTGGGTACCCCTGACGTTACCAGGCCATTTTATAAAGCCATGTGACTTCTTGTATTTTTAGCATAATTTTGCGCAGTTGAAGAACACACTAAGATCATATGGAGCGCATCAATAATGATTTGATTTTGTTGAACCATTACTAAAGAAAACGAAAAGGACTCTAGTCGTGAATATGAAAATTGATTTAGTGCAAACCTATTCTTTGTTCAATCGTCGTTCATAAGGTTTCCAATCCTTCCATAAAATGACTATGGTTTTCGCTGAATTGAACAGAAGGTATCTGAGATCTGATTTACATCTTTGCTTTCTTCACAGGAAAACGTACAGTCGAACTTGATGGAGCTAACTAACCAACCTTGGATTGTAAAACGTGAACAAATACAGTAGCACAGTGGAGGACATTTTCGATGCATGTATATTGAATAATTAGATTATGAGCTCAAGATTTCTATCGCGTGATAAAAATCGAAATCTAGTAGTCGTTCAAAACTTTGCCTAAACCTTCACAGCCACTTCAAAAATGCATAGAAGCGGCCGCTTTTTTGCTAACAGCCGCACACTGCTAAGCTACTCACATTCGACTTAATCAACTTAATTAACAATTAGATTATGAGCTCGAGATTTATATCGCGTGTTAGTTGACTCGGGCTGCGCCCTCGTCGACTATCAGGCATAGAAATCGAAAGCGAATAATGTAATTGTTTTAGAATAAATCTACCAGTCGTTCAAAACTTTATCTCAATCCTCTTCAAAGACACTTCAAAAACGCAAAGCGGCCGCAAGTTTGTTAACAAGTGCTCACTGCTACGCTACTCAGTCATTATCTACAACAAAATACATAGCGAGTAGCGTAGCCAATTAGAGAAGACGCTATTAGATTTATACTAAAACAAAGTAGATATTGAGTAGTCTGGCTGATAAGGGAACTACATTCGTGATAGAACGCTAGTAGATTTATAGCAATAGTTGATATGAAGCTTTTTTGAATCAAATTGCGAGCTTGAAATTGAAAGTAACATTTAACAAATAAGACATTTTTTTTTTTGAAAATTACATGTTAGCCAATTAACAATAGGGTGAGTTTCGGAGCAAGTTTTTACAGAAATCGACCTAATCTTGATTCTTTTCGGCATGAGGTTATGATAAATTCAATCTTTCACTTTTTTGTTATGTGATTTGTTACCATTAGAAAGTAGTTTCCCTTGGTTTTCAATCCGTTCAGTATGTATGTTTCAAAATAACAGCAAATAAAATTGTGTGGCCTAGTACCTTCAAGAATCGGTTTAATTGTTTACTAGAAAGGTTTCAATTATTATCATGTGTGGAAAATCATTAGTTATTTGGGGACAAAAAAGTTCTCGGAAAAAAATATAATAACATATTTATGAATATAGATCAAATGTTTGTATGTAATTGTTAAAAATAAAGCAATAGTACATTTCTGGAAGTATGTTCATAAAGTTTTTCTTCTACTTTTGCTCCATATACGTTGAGTGTTACTTGCAGAAGCGAGCATTGGAAGTTCAATTTCCAAGTTAGTTTATATGGAGTGGCTCACCAGCACAAAAGCTTCCACGCTTGTTTCCACAATGTAATGGAAACTGAAAAATCGAAATTTTGAACTGTTTTCAATCATTTACTGATAAATGTTTCGTACCATGTTATGCTTTTATTTTTGATGCAGAATTTATGGCAACTTATAAGCAATATGGGTTCTTTTATAAAAAGAAATGACTAATGTAGTTAACAAGTGAAGATATCGAGTGTCTATTCCAAACTTTCTATAGTGATGAAATTACTATTCTTTATAATCCATCAAATATTTTCACTCGCTCGCGATTGGTTTAAACGCGCCACGTGACTGAATATGCCCCAGCTAAAACTGGGGAATATCCGAGTGATATCTCCTAATTTTCAGATCCCGGGTGTTGCGAAAACTATGTGAAGTACAATAAACACAATAGTCTCCATTTGACTATAAAAGTATGCTCGGAAATTTGTCCACGGATATTATCCCTTCCTCGAAGCTCACAGTTTTCCTCGAGCTTCGCTCTCGGAAAACTGTTCGCTTCTCGGAACAAATAATGTCCTTGGACAAATTTCCGAGCATATTTTCGCGCCAAATGGAAGCTATTGTTTACAAAATTTAGCTCTTAAATACGATTAAGGCGGAGACTCTACAATTGGGATAAGCCCATTTTCCGACAACTGTCTTCTTTTCAATCTTTACGCAAAGAAAGATAGCATGGCTAATTTGCATTATAATATGAAAACCATGATGGCGGCCTATCAAGAAAATGGTTCTTTGAAAAATAAACCTGTATCATTGTTTTATAATTTAAGATCTTGTAGAATAGTTTTACGTTAATTCAGACCTCAAATCACGTGAATTTGTTATCAACCAGACAAACTCATTGTTTGATTGAAAATCAAACTCGTTGCATGACAATCTTGGAATAAATGGTGAAATATACATTGTAATTCAACTTTCTTAACGGCGACCAAAGGAATATGAAAGGTTAATTTATCCAGGACTGATGTCTCGCGGGAGCGTTGTTAGTGTGGAGGATTTCAGATCAAAAGATGCAGGCGGGTTCAAGCCCAGGCCGGATCACTCAATAAGAGGCGCAGTGGCCTCATGGTTAGTGCGTTCGCCTCCGGATCGAGCGGTCCGGGTACGAGCCCTGGCTGGGGATATTGTATTGTGTTACTCTTACAGTGCCTCTCCCCTGCCCAGGTGTATAAATGGATACCGGCGAACTTAATGCTGGGGGTAACCCTGCTATGGTATAGCATCCCATTTCGGGGGAAATAGACATACTCCTAGTCGCTTCATGCTGCAAAAACTGAAGATAAGCACCGGCCTGATGAGCCACTTGGCTCGTATACAGACTTTATCTACCTACTCAATACGAAAGAAATGAATTTATTCCGACTAACATATTATTCCTAAGCTTTAACAAGTTCTTTATTTTTACCCAGCGCCGTCGAATAACAAAATTCAAAGAAATAATTTAACTACAATGTACATCATTTTCCCATATATCATTACAGATATTTTCATTTAAATAACAGTTCATCAAAACTATATTCTAGAGCAGACAATAAATATAAAATCACCAAACTGAACAACAACTCCAAGTGTAACCAAACAAGAGAGTTCTAAAGCTTGGCAATCAAATAGCCAACTAGGCAATTAAACTAGCTGGGACCATTACCCATGTAGTAAAATTTTTGATTTCGGCATTTATTGGCAGAGAGCCATTTATTTTAAGATCGAGTAGAAATTGTTTATCCGCAGAGAAGGAAAGAAATTATAAACAAGAACCAAGCTATGGTAAACCGGATAATCTGTGACTGAATTTTACTAATGATTATTCCTTTTGAAAGTTGTATTCATAGGTCCTCTTTTGAAACAGTAAAAAATCTACGTAACAAGAAAACTTGAATAACTCCAACAGAAATTATAATACAAGACTGTCCAATGGACCACCACTGAACACGCTGTTTAAGATATTCCGCAGCCAACCGACCGTTTGCTTCTCTGAGTCTGTAATAGTTCTGATATTTCTCGATCAAGTTGAAGTTCTCGTGAATATTTAGGAAGGACTTCTCGAAGTACGTCAGGGCCGTTTGCGTTCCGTCAACTCCTTCATATCCCATGTAGTCTTCGTCGCCTTTGATCAAATCGAAGTAAACGAGGTTTTCACCGATGGAGAATTCGAAAACGTTGCTGAAACAGATAGTGTACGTTCCGTTTTTATCAGTGGTAAATTTATGCAAGTCGTAATCCTTCTTTTCTTCTTTGTAAACGAAGCTGCCCTCTGGATCCTGTATGTACGCATCGATGCGCGGGTCGACGCCGGTGATCGGCGCGTATTCTAGCGAACATTCGGTGTTTTCTACAAGGTCTTCGTAGAAACATTCAAAGCCGCTAAGTTGAAACTGTAGATGGCGGCCATATACTGGTACCAAGCATAAACACAAGACGAAAATTACGATTAAATGGTCCATCGTCAGGGTACATTCACGCTTCGCAGAAAAGATATCAGCACCAAGATTTTGTGATCTTGTGGTTCAACGCCACAATACAGTCCTTCTCTTTCTTAAACGCCGTGTAATTGCTCGTTTCACGCAATTTCGCCCATGTTGAGCTGAGGTGAAGTTATAATCAAATCTGTTGTCCGAAGTAAATTTGCATGCGAGAAAATAAGGCCACGTGGCGTTCTGTAGACGCACGCGTAAGAATACTGTGATCTTAGCTCTTGGTTTGAAGACTTTGATTCCTTGCCGGATAAAACGCCGAACTTTTATGCTGTAATTAAAATCAAAGAAAATTTCCGAAAATTGTCGAAATGGGTCAGATTTTAATCGTTCGAGCGTTTGTCGTATTCGAAGAAATTATTCCAGCTGGTCGAAAAGCCGAACAAAAGCATTATTTTGTTGAATTTTAATTCGACGTCGTTACCGACAACCGAAACGAAATCAATATTTTGGCTGTGTTTATTTGTATAGTGCAGTATTTGTAATTGATTTCACTTGCCCATACTCAGTTTAAATAACTTTACTAGCTTAAGTTTCTATTCTCGAGGTTCAAATGTGAGGAAATTCGAAAACCGCATCCACATAAATCAACATTTTATGACATATGCATTACTTGTATTCCGTGGAAAGAAAAATAATGGATCTGAGAGCTTCAGCATGCACCGGCAATTACAAACGACCGAAATCCAAAGAAGCAACTTTTAGCGATTCAAAGGAATCGATTTTGATTTCTTTCTCAACCAAGAGATTGGTTTTAACTTAACAAGAGAATATTGTGATCCAATTTTACCAATGTTTTGTTTGCCAGCAGGACAGGCGGTTTAGCAAGGCATGGATTTATACAGCGGAGCCGTAAAAGCAGAAAAAGCGTTATGCCGCCTTATGTAAGCCTGCTTAACAAATTGTTATGCATGTATCTGTTCTCAGCAAATGCGCATGTTCAATTAAGTCAAGTTTAACCAAATGTCTCCTCCCATCAAAACGGGAAAACGTTTAATGCACACTGTTAGAAAAACAAATCGGAAAAAACAATTCGGAAGCCACGGGACCGGCTTTTCTTCGTGAACCCGGCAATTTGTCAAGTAAAAGTAACAAAAACTGTAAAACTGACCATTTTCTTTTTAATTTTGTTATTGTAAAATTTGAGGATCACAATATAAAGCTTGCAAATGGGCAAGTTAAATTTTTTTTATGATTCTCAACAGAGCTGGTACATTTTATACTAATTACTTATTCACCGAGAATGAGGTCTTTACGGGAAAATCTCAAACCACGGTCTTGCCGTATTGGCCGAGCGATAGCGAGGTCAATACGGCAAGGCCGAAATTTTCTCGTAAAGACAAACGTTCGAGGTTAACAAGTTGTTTATTACATGGCTTTTTGCTTAGCTTTAGCAGGCCCGTAATCAACCCGCGGGCATTACGGGAAAATAATGCCTTAGAGCTAGCCAATCAGAGCGCGTTTTGCATCAGTTACAAACACAAGCCATTTGATAATGTGGAATAATCTCAAATGATCTAAATATCTGTCATGCACAACATGAGCTGAAAATGTCTTGCCAGTGTCACCATACCCCTTTTACAGAACTAGCAATTTATGACCACTACAGTGAAATCATTATGAGAAGTGACAGGGAAAATTCTGCAAACGATAATTCTCTGACAGAAACAACTCAGACTCATTGGGCAAGACATAGCTTCAGGATTTTGTACGCAATGCGAGCCAATCAATGAGACTGTGCCGTGGCAAAGTTAACCTTTAGAGAAAACACGGTAATCCCATGGTTAGGGCTTTCATGAGGAAAAGGTGATATCCTACGCGGGACCAATCAGTAAAGTAATGCTGTACAAAAAAAAAAATTTTTCTGAGAAACGCGCTTTTCGACTCACTGGACGAGGCACATCTTCAGAATTTTGTACGAACTGCGAGCCTATAATTTACACTGTGGCCCAACGGTCAGCGAGTTGGACGTCGGATCGAGTGACCTGGGTTCCAGCAAAGGCCGGGGTTATTGAGTTGTGTTCGTAAGCAATAAAGTGCCTCCTTCCATTCAGAAGTGTATAAGGCACATGTAACAATAAGGAAAAGATGGCAAGTGTAGGCGCGCTAAGCTGCGGTGAACTGATATACTATCTAATGGGAGTACCAATACTGGCCTAATTACTCAGATATTTCCGTTTTATACCTGTAACTATATTTAATTTTTTGTTTTTGTTTTGATCATCTGTGTAACTGCATTTGAGTGAATAAATAAAATAAATGAATTAATAAATACTCGACTCCTAGTCATTCTATGCTACGGAAGCCGGTATAAGTTCCGACAGTGTGGTTCAGTTAGCACAACGCGAGTTGAGCTTAACTCAGTAGCTCTAAATCTCTTTTAATAATGGTTCAGGCAATTTTGTGATACTCAAAGACAATATAGTGATTCTCTTGTCTCGTCGACCCTGTATTGATAATATATGAAACATCAGAAGTAATCCTCTCCTTGGATCAACCAGTTTTGGTTTACGCTTGACTTGATTGATCAATCTTTACAAACGTCAAATATAACTTTTTTAAAACGGTTGATCTTTGATTCAGCAATCATTTCAGCCAAACAAACCAAAAACAGTTTTTTCTCAATAAAACACGAAAAACTCTCAACTAAAACGGTCTATCGCAAAAGAACACGCCCTTAAAAAGGGTGGGAAAAGTTCTTAATTGAAGCACTTCAATTAGGCAAGTCAAAGTCGTTTGGCGTTAAGTGGCTTGTAACAATATAAACACGGTCTAAGTTTTCAACCAAAGACTACAACATGGAAATGGCATTGTAGTCAAAACTCAAGAAGAATGCTATGTATGCATGTAATAGTGTCCCTCAAAAATGCCTCATTCTAAAAACCAGCCACAGTTGGTGGTTTCAGTCCATGATGGTACAGTAGATAGAGGCGAAACCAGCGGTGAGTGGATACAGCTACCAGGTCGGAAAGCCACACCCCAAATAGCTTGCAGAACTTCCCGCCTAGATTGTTAGTTTGTCATTTCTGTGATGATAATTGTTAATTTAAAAGCGAATCTTATCGATACGGTTAACAAACTATTAGCGACTATACCATTCATGTTTGTTTTTTTTGTGTGTGTGTGTGTTTTAACTTGTTTCTAATTTTCTTGAGCAGTTGTCATTGTAAACAAACAATTAGTGTTATCGACAATTTTATCTCAAATTATTATGCACACAAAGCCAGAAAAAAATAAAAAAATAAAATAAAATGACAACTAAATATTAACTTAACCTGATTTTATTTCCAGAAGAAATAATGTTATATTTTACATAATATTCCTTAAATGCATTTAACAGGCAATATTACACAACCCTTACAGAACTATAAACATTATCCACAACATCAGCGGGATTTTGTCCTTATACCCGTTTAATTGGCCACGTCGCTCGCCAAGAAGCCTCAATTGCGAAAACTGCTCTGCATTGGACGCCAGAGGGAAAACGCAAGAGGGGCCGCCCTAAGATCACATGGCGGCGGACGGTGGAGAAGGAAATCAAGGAGATGGGGAAGACCTGGGAAGGCATCAAGTTTATGGCAAGGGACCGACAGATGTGGAGGGAACATGTTGCTGCCCTACATGCCACTTAGGCGTGAAGGGCATGAGTGAGTGAGTGACCTGGTTATATATTATCATTATTATTAGAGTTGATTTAGTGTTCTTATTGTAATACATTTTCCTTTTGCTATATAATGGACCGGTTTTTAAGGTCTTCATTTCTACTTTGTTCGTTTTCTTTATAAATGATTTTATGGGCCCATTAAACGTCTCAATCTCTGGCAAGTCCTTCTCCATCAAGCTTCCACAATAACATCTAAAAACAAGCTGTCCCACAGCACGAATTTTCAAGTGACTTTCTCGTCCAAGAATTGATACTGAGTGTTTCCATAGAAGAGGGAGCACTACATTTCTGCTACAGTGCGTATCTAATAATGTAGAAACACGCTCGTGTACAATATTAAGGTAGCCTGCATGATATTGTCAGTACTATCCAAACTTGCAAACTAACCGCATTATACTAGTTAATCTAAATAATAATGACCTCGATATAGCGTTATTTATTTCGACATTTTTTCATATACAGTCTCTCGGAGTGGTAAACACTTTACAAAAGGTATTCAAATCCTCCGAGGGAAAAAAGATGGCGACTAGTATTTACTCACAGTTCTTAGCGCACGACAACTTTAAAAACGTTTACAAAAACGTACAGAAACGTTATAACATCTTTAAACCCAGGCTACTCAATGCCCTTTGTATAGGGACAAATATTATAATCATTTGGCTTTCTTAGTGCCTCATAGGCTGTGTTAGGTTCGCAAGGCATTGTGGTTAAATGTACAGCCGCCATCTTTTTTTCCTACGGTGGACTGCCGATTAAAGTTTCAGACTACAAGTTTTCGTATGCCAGTCGATTAGAGTAAATAGGTTCGAAAGCGCTCGTTTCAGAAGACAGGCTCAACGTGCTGCTCTGCGCATGCGTGCTTGTACACGTGCTTGTGCGAGGATGAGGACTTCCCGAAACGTATGCTGGGTATGTTTGAAGAGGCACATACGAATGATGAATCTGCGCGTGTGCGTGCGCCTGTAACTCTTGCAGATAAGCCGCTGACACAGGAGGCTGCGGCGTCGGTAATACCGGAGCTTGAGGAATGAGGTAGGGAAAATGCGAGCGCAGTTCATCGTAGCTGAACATCATGGAGCGTCCAGGCCCTTTCATCTTCAACATCCCGTCTTGTTCCAGGCCCCTAGGTAAATCATGGCAAATAGCGGGATTACATATTTTCGGTTTAAAAATTTACTGATTGCCTTCCTCAAAGCACTTAGCAACAACCATTTACAAACTACAACAACGTAACTTGAACTTTGTATGTGCATTAGTTACTTTCATAGCCTAGAAATAATTAAGGACAAAAGTATATTACTGCTATTATAAAACTTTAAGGTAAAAAGCTGTTAAAATTATGAGTCTAAACGTTTTCGATCTGTTTGATCATCATCAGAGTGATGATGATGATGATCAAACAGATCGAAAACGTTTAGACTCATAATTTTAACAGCTTTTCACCTTAAAGTTTTTTATTTTACTCTTATCGGCGAAATGTATATATTACTGCTATTGTGACTTAGTTTGCTCTGATCACCCACAAGTGGTTTGAAGAAAAACAAATTAAGTAATGGCTTGACTCCAAAAAATAAAATAAATATAAAAAGATAAATGAACTAGCTGATGGAGGCCACCCTCTTTTTATTTAGGATATCTCGGAAGACGATATATATAGTAAAACAGAGAAAATCGATTGAAATGAAAAGTCATTGGCAAATAGTCTCTATCTAAATTTAAAGCTTTAGTAGCTAAAATAGAAAAAAATAATTACAAAAAATGTAAATAACCATTGTTTAGGGCTAACCTGTATAACTGACAGAAAACGCTTCTATGTGGCATCGGAAGCCCGAGGCTATATAGTGCAGAAGAGTATCAATTTATATTCAAGTATCTAGAGCGTAATGGTTAGAACAGATGCGGCCTTTAATTAATACTGCCCCGATAAAATCTATTTAATAATGATATTTTTGAAGATATAAAGTGTCCATTGAAATGATTTCCATTATTACGTTGGAGCCAAATTCCGCGCACAGAGAATTTTTGGCCTGCCTCTAGTGAAATTAAAAAACATCATGGTTTTTGGAAACAAATAAGAACTTTTCTCGCTTATATCCTCCATCAAATCACACGACCTGAGTATGCAAAATTAATTCTCTCCTCTGATCTTCGTCAGTTTTTATTGCGCTGGAGTTAGAACTTAATTAAACCCGCAAACTGAAGACATTTTTTTTCTTTCAGTTGGTTATTGGCTTTTTTTTATTCTCAAAAAACCGCATGCCTGATTACATTGAACTATTAATTCTTCATAGTAATTATGAGGCACTTCCTTTTAAGATGTTGATTTTCTGTGTTCTCGTTACACGAATACAGCAGTGTATAGACATTGTGAGGAGAAAATGGATACGGATCACTCTGGCTTGAATGTTAGATGATATCAAGCCGTACATTGGTAATGTTGTTAGAATTCTGTTTGGTACGAGAAATAAATATAATTTTTCTTGATTTTGAAGAGAGACAAACGTCAGCAGCGAAACTACTAAATAATTTCGAATATCAGTGAAACTCAAAAGGGTTAGACGATCGGGCATGACTTTTCGTTTAAACAACTTGAGAACAACTGACAACGTCAAAGCATTATTCCCAAGGTAGTCGGTAAACGTTGGTGATTTATGATACGCCTGTAAACACATGAAGACTGACCGGTCTTGATATTAATCGGTATCACATCTCGTGCTGATGACGGCTCACCCATTAGCTAATATTTTCGGTTGGTTTTTCACCGCGCAGGTGCATAAATAGCCGCGAGGTTTTAAAATGAAAAGTAAACATCACTAAAACCTTTTTTCCATTTGGCCCGGGTAAATGATTGAAGCATATGTATCAAAGGTATTGATTCAGCGATAACATTGCTGCCCGCATACAAATACCAGTCAAGTTTACCCAGCAGCGCTATACATCGATATGAAATTTGATCCTCCTTTTTCTGGAGACAACAGCGAAAGAAATCGAGCTGAGTTTATATGTACCATAAGGTTTTCTCAAGAAAACGGCCGTTTGGTCTTACCAAAAAGTTTGCTAAACGGAATTCAAGTTCTTAAGTTTAAGTAGATGAAGTTCTATGATAATTTACCTTATAAATCGACTTCACATTCGAGAATGACATCTTCATTAAACATTTGACAAAAACAATCTTACAACTTGTAGAAAAGCACTTTCCTTTGAGCCGATGTAATTTCGAATTCTCAATTTTTTTCTTATACATCTCAGAAATTTTTAACTTTTTCCTCCTCTTGTCTTCACTGAGCAGGAAAACAATTATACTGTATAAAAAATCAATTTGAAGTAAATCGCAAAGGATTCTCTTAACTCGTGCGATGAAATATTCAGAAAAAAGCAAGAGCAAATTTACAGTATTGTGAAAAGGATAGATTTTCTTTGGTACAATTGATTACTGGCAAAAAGCCTTGTCCTTATACCAGGTCGAATTAATTGTTTCCATAAATAAACGTACCTCTTGTATAATTCATTGATTTCACTATGAAAGCGTTTTACAATTAAAAGGTTCGCATGAAGGCAGATGTAGAATGCGCTTTTCTAGTTCTTCTGTCGTGTAATGAAGGGCTTCTGATACAGTTCTTTGTTGTCAAAATTTCCGGTGATAATCGTGCCTTATTAACAAGTAATCGTACGAAATAGAGTGTTAATGCAGCATAACAACTTAACCAATAATTTCCTTATTAAACAGGCTTTCAGAGAAAGGATTCACCGTAATTTCGCGCTCGTTACAATGGACGCAGCAATAGAATATATATGCTGATACACGAATTATAGTCGAGAAGAGTGAATGTACACCTTAAAATAACTCGGAAATTTATGATACCACTATTAGCAAACTTAATTCATGTACGTTTAATTAAACCGTCGATTGCCTCTTCGTAATATCTGCTAGCATTCGCATTCAAAATAATATGTAACCTAGATTTCTTTCATAATCCTTAAAAAAGCGAGAAGATCACAATTCAAGAAATGAAAACATAACTGGATGTTTGGAAGCGAGTCACACATAATTTTCAATCGACGAAGAGAAAAAGGAAGCCGCGTTGCTTCGTGTTTCCCAAACTTAAAATTATTAGCAAGATCATTAGGTCTTGTGTGTACTGTTTTCATTTACCTGGATCCGGGAATAAATTTATTCCCATAGCTTTTCAACAATGAAATGTAGGCACGAAATCCGTAAATATAAATAACATATTACATCAAGGAAACTAAGTCACCCCATTCGCAGGTAAGAAAATGTTCAAAATAATATAAGAAATATTGAAACATGGCTTATTTTGAAAAGAATTGGGGACGTTAATGTTTCAATACATAATTTTTGAATGGCATATTAAAAAGCAAAACCTTACCCCTTCCTCATTTCTGCAGCCCGCACCCGTTGTCTCTTGTTCTTAAACCAGTTACTAACTTGTGTCACGGTTAGATCGGTCATTTTTGCCAGCTCGTACTTCTCTCGAGGAGTGGGGTATGGATTCTCGGTGTACGCCTTATTTAGAATATTCCTCGACTTCTCTTTGAAGCAGTAAGTGGTCTCTTCGCCATCCCAAATCGTCCGTGGAAGAGGGTACTTCCTCCGGACTCGGTACTTGCCCACAGCTCCTAAAGGTCTGCCGCGCTGGCGTTCCGCTTCGATGTAATGCGCCGTCCTCCAAAGACACTGAAGTCGCTCGTGGTTCTCTTTAGAGAACTTGTTGCTCTCGAGTATGCCGTACAACTCCTTGAAGTTGTTTTGGTAGAAATAGACAACAGCCTTTGAGACTAGAATTGTCTCGGTTGTTTTGGCATCGTTGTCTATTTCCGCGGGTAAAGACCACAGAAATCGAGAGAGGCGCTCTATTTCACCGTTATTTTGAAGAAACTGGCACACTTTCGCAACTTGACCTGGTGAAAATGGACACGGAAACATGTTACTGATGGACGCTGGATGTACCTCAGCTTAGCGAGTGTCTCTGGCGATTGTTGCCTCGAATGTGACAATCCGCCTTGCACGCCCGTATTAAATAGAGCCCTATCTCGTGATTAGCCAGCGATTTTGTTTCAACGCTGGCTGGAAGCTTTGTTGACTAAACTAAACATTCCCGCTTTTGAAATGATATTGTCCAAGCCATAAGTTGAACAAAACCCCTTTTAGTGTAGACGTCAGAATAGCATCAAGTGTCCAGTCCTTCAATTAGTTTGTCATTAGCATGAAATAGATTCAGACAAACTTGTTTGTTTAAGCATCTAGGATGGCCTATTTCATTTTGAGTATCTGTGGCCTGAACAAACAGTATTTTAAGCGCTCAATTGTGGCTAGATATTGAAACCAAATTGCCGACCTTTCAGATTTTGTATTCAAAATGTGTACAGTGCGAAAGCTTTGGCCATGAAGAATATTTCGAATTTTTAATCATTTTTTGTTTCCCACTTTTGCAAAATTTTATGCGATCATGTTCAATAAACTCGTCCATTGTTTCTCAATTTGTAACTTCGATACTTTAATAACCAGTCACAAAGAACGGACTTTTTAATCAACATCTAACAAGTTTCCATTCAATGTATGTAGTTCAATTCAGGGGGCGAGAAATAAATCAAAGAATTCCCTTCGCAGTGTCACTTTTACCATCCTGTTTGACTTAGCGCAGAATTCTTCAGCAAGAAAAGCAGTTGTCACGTTATGGGTGGAATTCTACACTTCCTCTTCAAACATTCGGCATGATCCTTAGCGCCTTTAACACATCAAAGGAAAAGAAAGGGAACGAGTCTGAAGAAGTAGCAAACACATTCTTCAATTACTACGCAGGGCTTACTTTCGTACAAAAACAACTTTATGCAATCTTACTTCAAGTAATACGGAAATAAGCCAATTAAAACTGACAATCATCTGTGACGAATAAACGAACAAATTTCCGAAAGTTAAACACGTCGTCAGTTCGAAAATATTCACAGTTTCAACCCTATTTTTACCGAGGAGGGCTGTTTTGATTTTCCCATACAGCTGTATTTGCTCAAAAATCGTCGAATTAATACTTCAAAACTACCGTGCACAATGGCAGGTCGCGTAAAAACAACGTGCCATTTGCTGTCCATAGAGGAGCGTACATCTGCTGCTTTTGTCAACAAAACAGACAATGGGTCCAAGGACTTGAATGGGTTCCCGGAGCAACCCGACACAAACCCTTTTGATGTATAATATCAAATTATTAAAATCTCCAGGCTGGCTTCAATGAAAATTTGTCGAACTCGTGTGAATTTGGAATGGGCAGGGGTGGAACATATTTTAACCTTGACTTTTTAAGAGAGTGAGATGTGTCACAACCTCTAATCTGAGTTCCTAAGCCTGACAAGGTATTGTGTGTAAAACGAGTCGAAAAAACGCTACTCGCATCAATTGAATGTATCATTAAAATGTTTTAATCTGCAAATTAGCCAGGCAAAGAGGTGACACATTGCTTTGTTGAGGCGACAACGACCTGTTCAGTTAATCCAAAGTAATTGTGCAAAGAAAAATAATTACTTATAGGACTGCACGCATTTTGTAAGAGAGAAAATATAGATTCGCTACCTAGGTTAAAAAGATCACATTATTCCGAAAGTGTTAAATTGCGCCATTTTAAAGAAAAAGCAGACAATTAGTCCGGCTGCTTTCCTAGACTACAAAATAACGATAATTTTCTCACAGATACAGAAAATCCTTGATGATTATAAACACGACATAAAACGGGGATACGAAGCTTCAAAACTTCCGCTAAGAACGTTCAGCATTGAACATTAAAATATCTTTTACAGATAAACCCGTCCCGCTTGTAAACTTCTTATAAACGGGGTTAAGGTTTATTACAAGCATGCTTAACTCAATAACATTAAAGTGAGACAGACATTCTCCACATTTTACGAACTAAGAAAAGAAATTCTCACTTTCACAAAAAACTCGTTTATAGGCAGAGCGATAGTGTAGGGCATAGCCATACGTAGAGTGTCTAAATTCGTTTGAAAAGTTAATTGATTTGAGGAGATAAAACATGCTGAAAAAAGACAATGGACTATTTCTTGACTCGCAAAACACAGACCAAAAAAGGGAACAAAACTCGGGTAAAAGTAAGGAGTTTCGAAGAAAGCTCACAGCGAGAATGCCAAACGACAAACGTGTTATATAGCAAAACGAAAAGAAAAAAAAGAAGTAAAAAGAGCAGAAAAATATTTCAAAAATGAAGAGTAAAATTTTCACTCAACTAAACTTTCAATTACGAGACAAAACCGATGAATTTTTGATGAAACTGAAGAGAAAAATGTTAACACCTCCGACAAAAGAAACATTCAAAAATCATAAATCTTTCTCAATGCATACAGATAACTATTTTTCCATATACAAGTAGCTGACGAAAAGCAATCAGTTTATGAAAATCTTCGCTCGTAAAGCTCATTTACAAAATAAAAAGCGCACAGAAAAACTAGCAGAAAAAGGTGCATCTCACGTAAAATAAATCAAACGAACGTGCTCCTATATTGGTGTTTTGAAATTGGACGCATGTGCTTTTTCCTTTAGCTCAAATGTGTTTGTCGTAGGCGCGAGTTATACAATATGCCCATCTATTTCCAATATACCTAAGTGCTGCGGTTTGTTGTTTTCTGGAAAATATTTATCTGATTGCATAAATATATGTATTAGTTTTGTCTTGGTGAAAAACGAGCACGCTTTTTATCGATATATTACAATCTACTTTATTTTAGTATTCAGTTTCAGTCCTATTTAAAACCTACCCCTCACTAATTAAGGTCGTAGAATTTTCATGTCCAAGGAACAGAAATTTGGTTCATTTTTATCTCTACAAAACAGGAACTTAACACCTCCCCAATTAAGCATTTGCTTTGTTATCGAGAAAATTGTTTACTAGCAGAACGTTTTTATGCTCTCTAGGTTCAAGGTCGGTATACAAAAAGATGTTATTACGAGATACCAGCTAAAAACTGAATAATGTCCACTTTTACTTTTTATACAGCCTCAGATAAATTTCAGTTACAGCCGTATTTTTTCGCCTTTCATCAGTTCTACTTCAATATTTTCGTAGATTTTTCAAAGTTTCCAGAACAAACGATTAAAAAATATATAAATACTTTTTTATTAACACTGTAGTTGTCTATGTCTTAACATAATCAGGAATTTTGCAGGGATAAAACCTTGCCAATACGTTTTTAGCATATTACCGTTTCCGGGGAAACGTCCTTTGCTATGTTAAATGATCGAATCTGCGTAGAATCTACTGGTGAAGTCTCTTTTGACTGTATAAGCTTTTGAATTTTGAACGATTTGAATGACCTTGAGATAACCACATTTTATTATGAGCAGGTTTATTGGGCTTTCACACTTTAAGAAGCCAAGACGCCTTTCAGATTAAATTAGATGAAATTAAATCATTATGTTTAAAGGGGGATCTGCCACAAGTTTATGACAATCCTGCCATATGAGCAGAGCATAAACATCAAAAACTTCAAAGAAAACGATCCGAAAATCGACCAAGAGGAAGAAGTGGTTGATTTTGTAAAGTTTGGAACGAACCAATTGGTCCTGCTGGGAAAAATCAAGCTTTCGATTGTAAAAAAAACTCTGCATACTGTGACGACTGAATATCATCATCTGACGCATGTTTCACCTCAGATTTTGTACTTAAAGCTTGCAATTGTAAAAAGTAATAGTCTTCTTACGAAATACAACCTGGCACATTTATTTATTACTACGCGGTCACATTTAAGCTAATTTTTGATTGAGGCTTGAACGTTTAGCGCATTTTGCTCTCAGACCATCCCCCCATGTTTATTGTTGTAGTCACACAAACGAAAACGAAGACTGGGGAAGGATTTGCTTTCAAAAACACTGTCCAGGATTTGTAGCCTGCTCACTGACTAATCAGTACTACCTTGTCATAATTTTAAATAACTAACGCTATCACAATGGATACAAACAAATCGACAGTGTAATTGAGTCATGCAGGATCACAACAAATCTTCTAATTGGAATACTGTTAAGTATCGCGCGTAAATTTGAAGCTTTAATTCATTGCATTGATAGTATTAAAAAATGCCAGTGAGATTATTTACCTGAATGTTGTGGGGTGCAGTTCACTATCATTTCAGCAAAACTGGTCATAGCGGAAATTTCGTGTTGAAATAAAAAAAAACACTAAGAAGGATACGTTGGAAACGTTTACTTAGTCAATAGATGAGGTTCCGTGGAATTGTGGGAAAATCGGATCAAATATAGATCTATCGATAGTGAAAGGTTGGTACAATAAATTTTCTTCAAGTCAAAAATCTGCCGAATGCAACACTTCCCGAAGTCATTGTCGTCGAATCCCGGTAACTGGAGTGATCCATCCAAACAGATTTGTAATAAACTCAGGTTAACTCGCTCACGTCCGAAAATCTGGTTTGTGGTGATCCGATATTGTTTATAAGGGTTGTTAAGCGACCCACAATGACAACGGCAACGGGAACAATGGCCATGCACGTGCACGTTCTCTGTGAAAGAACAATGTGGAATGCCCAAATTTAATTCTGCGTTATTTGGAGAAAATGAACCACGATGGCAACCTTTTTTTTTAAATATCTTTTTCGCATTTTAACGCTTCTTACATATTCAAAGCTCACGAGGATCGCTCAGACAGGGACCTAAGTCGTATTTTCAATTCCGCTTTGCCTTTCTATAACTCGGTAGTTCACTCTGAGGAAACATCTATATGCGATTAGTAAAAAAATAATTTCAGCATATTCTATGAAAATTATGAAGCAAAATGTCTCAACAGGAGGGATACAATGATACAATTATGTTGAGGATTGGTAGATGCAACAATTAGATCGAGGAATTTTTAAACGGTTTCTTATTATACGGCTACTATCTATCACTATGAAGCAAGTTTAAAAAAGAATGTTTTTGAACACTTTAATTTGGCCTTCATGGGAATCCTCAAACTCACGTCAATTTTCCACCAGGAAAAGAAAAAATCCAAAACTGACGAGATTTAACAATCGAATTTCGATCTATGACATGAAAAAGAACTTCCTACATTTATTGGAAGTTTTGTGTGAAGATACGGTGACAAAGCTCGATCCTTTCATTCGCAAAGTCAAAGCTTGTGTAAATTGTTGTGTTCTTAACTTTAATGTGTGTGGATGAAACCCATTCAAGTGAAAGCTATTGAGCAGGAGTTTCATTTGCTACTGTTTATCATGCTGTACTATGTGATTATAGTTCTTCAATCTATGGATGAACACCTAATGTGTGACCATTCACATGAAAGCTATTGAGCACTTCTTTCGCTGTTTGTTATGACGCACTTATAACGACATTTGATATTTTTAAGCATAAGCACTTATTAGAAGTAAAATAGCTAACTGAGTGTAACATCACTCTGCCAAACTGTGAGCGATTTTACAAGGTTTACCTTGTGAAATACGAAATGATGGACTTAAATATACTCTTAAATTTAGTGTGTTAATTTAGCAGTATGAGTGAATTATTTCTGATGTGTAAAAATGAGTAATTGAACAGATGCCTTTCGTCGCTACTGAACGAACAGGGTTTTAAAAGCTGAATTCTGCCTTGAAGCAAGCTAGCATTTAATCAACTATTCAATAAAGTCATCTCCCCCTATTTACTCGGCGGTCCTAAATAAACTTTCAGTTTCTTTCATTCACCCGAAAAGTTCAATTTTCTCAACGTGACAAAAAGCGTAAAATTTAAAATTTGTCTGGAATAAGAAAATATACAGGTAAAAAATATTTACACATCTTAGAGTGAAACTTTCTGGTTTAACTTTTGTAACAGTCTTCCTTAATTTCTGAGAGACAGATAAAAACAAGAGCTTTTCCCCTAATTATTATTTATATTTT